TGAGCAGTTTAAGGAATTAGTAACACTACTAACAGAGAACAAATTAATGGGAAATTTTGGAACATGTAGAACATCAGAGAGGGTAAGSCCAAGGGGAAGAGAGATGGTTCCTTGACCAGCTATGGAAGCGTATGATCCATCAGTTAGTCTCACATTGTCTCTACCAGAAAGAAGGTGATGGGTTTGAAAGTAAGAGGACATACCAGTCATGTGTTTTGACGCTCCAGAATCAATGATCCATGGAGAGTCAAGGGTATGAGAAGCAACATGGAAAGCTATGGCAGAGTTACCTGATGTAGATACGAATGAGGTTGAGGAAGGAGCATCCATCTGACGAATTTCTCTACCATAGAGCTCTAAATGGTCACGGAAGGAATTCATAATATCCTCCCTTGGGTCAGATCCAGAGGAATGTGTCTGAGTCACAGTATGGATGGGGGGCTGATTCTCTCGAGTAGCCATGTTGGCCATAGTGTGTTTCTTTGTACCTTGCTGTCCTGACCTTTTATTCACATCTGAACTTTGCTTCTTATTCAAATCTTGAGCCCATTTCGGTTTCCCATGAAGATCCCAGCATGTATCTCTGGTGTGTCGGGGTTTCTGGCAATGAGTACACCACAATTTTTCTTTATCTTCGGTTTTTTTCTAGAGATCTCCTTTCTTGGAAGAATTTCCCACACTGGTAGAGACACCCCCTTTTGCTGCCAACACAACTACATCTCCACCAGGGCTGTTCATCAAATTCCTTCTGCTCTCTTCAGATTGTACAAGAGCATAAACTTCTTGAACTGATTGAAGATCCTTAGAGCTGAGAATCTGGACTCTGATAGATTCATACATAGGGTTCAAACCATGTAAGAAGGCAAACACTCTCTGCTGGGAGACAAGTTTCTTGTACAGTTTTGCATCCTCGCAACATTTCCAGTCCACACTTTGATAATGGTCCAACTCCTTCCAGACAGAAGTCAAGTCGGAGTAATATACCGATAGACACCTCTCCCCCTGTTTACAAGTAGATGACTCTGCCTGTAGTTGATAGATCTTTGCATAGTGTCGCAGTTCTGAATATGTAGATTTGGCTTGTTCCTAGATCTCATTTGCCGTTTCAGCCCACATGAAATTCTTCCTTATTTGAGGTTGCATAGAGACTAAGAGCCAAGACATAACCATGCTGTTTTCCTGATTCCATCTATCATATTCAGCACTCCCAGAGTGTGGTTTAATTCTCCCATTAATATAACCTATCTTCCCCCTTGCAGTGATGTACAGCTTGATACCTCTTGACCACTCTAAGTAATTTAAACCATCAAAAGGGACAACAGCCATGGGAAAGGATAGGTCTACACCCCCATTCATTCCATTCAGCATTGAGGAAACTCCAGATGTAGCAGAATCTTCACCACTCAAGATTTCAGATTTAAAAACAACACCCAAAAAAAGGAACACAGCCTCAAAGAGTTATTACAGAAGGTACCAGCCACTTCCAGAC